AATGAAACAACTGAATAAGTTGATCAAGTATGACCTAGTTAGAGGCTTGAAGGATGTCACATTTGAGAAAGATAAGCTTTGTAGTGCATGTCAAGCCAGAAAGCAAGTTGATAACACACATCCAAAGAAGAGCATGATGAGCACATCTAAAGCATTGGAGTTGTTGCACATGGACTTGTTTGGACCAACCACATACACTAGCATTGGTGGAAACAAATATGAATTTGTGATTATGGATGATTTCACTAGATATATATGGGTGTTCTTTCTTATTGATTAGAGTGATGTGTTTGCAACATTCAAGACATTCGTCAAGAGAATTCATAATGAGTTTGAAACAACCATCAAGAAAGTGAGAAGTGACAATGGAAGTGAGTTCAAGAATACAAAAATTGATGAGCTTTGTGATGAGTTTGGAATTAGACATCAATTCTCGGCCAAGTACACTTCACAATTAAATGGCCTAGTTGAGAGGAAGAATAGAACTTTGATTGACATGGCAAGATCAATGTTGAGTGAGTACAATGTGAGTCATTCATTTTGGGCCGAAGCAATCAACACGGCTTGCTACTATAGTAACCGACTCTATTGCCATCCCATGATAGAGAAGACACCATATGAGCTTTTGAATGGAAGAAAGTCCAATATTGCATACTTTCAGGTTTTTGGTTGCAAATGCTACATATTGAAGAAATGCACTAAATTGAGCAAGTTTGAGAAGAAATGTGATGAAGGTTTCTTACTTGGTTACTCCAGCACTAGCAAGGCTTATAGAGTTTGGAATTTGGATTACTCTTGAGGAAGTGCATGATGTTGAATTTGATGAAACTAATGGTTCTCAAGAAGAAGAGGAGAATCTACATGATGTGAAAGGCACTCAATTGGTAAATGCAATAAAGAAGATGAATGTTGGTGACATAAGGCCTAGAGAAGTGATTGAAGTTGAAGATGACAAAGATCAAGTGCTCTCTAACTCAAATGTGCATGTTGACACAAGTCAAGCTAGTTCATCATCTCAAGTGCAAAATCAACAAGTGGCTAGTTCATCATCTCAACCTAGTGATCAATCAAATGCAAGCAATAAAGTACAAGTACTCCAACCAACCAATGTTGCAAGAGATCATCCATTGAATTCTATCATTGGTGATATCTCAAGAGGTGTGCAAACAAGATCAAGATTGGCATCATTTTGTGAACATTTCTCATTTGTATCATCCATTAAACCAAAGAAGATAGATGAAGCTTTGAAGGATGTTGATTGGATAAATGTTATGCATGAAGAGCTAAACAACTTCACAAGAAATCAAGTATGGAAGTTAGTTGAGAGGCCTAAGGATCATAATGTGATTAGAACCAAGTGGGTCTTTCGCAACTAGCAAGATCAAGAAGGGATAGTTGTAAGGAACAAAGCAAGATTAGTGGCTCAAGATTACACTCAAGTTGAAGGTCTTGACTTTAGAGAAACATATGCCCCGGTTGCAAGATTGGAAGCAATTAGGATCTTGTTAGCCTATGCTTGTGCCCATAACATCAAGTTGTACCAAAGGGATGTGAAAAGTGTATTTCTCATTGGGTATATCAATGATCTTGTGTATGTTGAGCAACCCCCCGGCTTTGAAAATGAGAAGAAAGCCAACCATGTCTACAAGTTGAGAAAGACTTTGTATGGCTTGAAGCAAGCACCTAGAGTATGGTATGAGAGATTGAGGGATTTTCTACTCTCTAAGGGATTCAAGATGGAAAAAGTTGACACCACTCTCTTCACCAAGAAGCTAGGCAATGACTTGTTCGTGTTGCAAATCTATGTTAATGATATCATATTTGGATCAACCAATCAAGATTTTTGTGAGGAGTTTGGAAAGATGATGGCAAGTGAGTTTGAGATGTCCATGATTGGAGAGCTTAGTTACTTTCTTGGTCTTCAAATCAAGCAAATGAAGAATGGCACATTTGTGAGTCAAGGCAAGTACATCAAAGACATGCTCAAGAAGTTTGACATGGATGAGAGCAAAGCTATTGGTACACCAATGGGGACAAATGGAAACTTGGATAGTGATGCTAGTGACAACATGGTGGATCAAAAGATGTATCGGTCTATGATTGGAAGCCTACTCTATGTGACCACATCAAGGCCGGATGTGATATTTGGTGTATGCATGTGTGCTAGATTTCAAGCCTCACCAAGAGAAAGTCATTTGAAGGCAACTAAGAGAATATTGAGGTACTTGAAGCATACATAAAATGTTGGATTATGGTACCCCAAAGGAGCAAGATTTGAGTTAATTGGATATTCGGACTCCGATTATGCGGAATGCAAAGTTGAGAGAAAGAGCGCATCGGACACATGTCAACTATTGGGAAGATCACTTGTGTCTTTGTCATCAAAGAAGCAGAATAGTGTAGCACTTTCAACCGCCGAAGCGGAGTACATTTCGGCCGTTAGTTGTTATGCTCAATTTCTTTCGATGAAGACAACTTTGAGTGACTTTGGAATCAAGTTCAAACAAGTGCCATTGCTATGTGACAATGAGAGTGCCGTGAAGCTCACCAACAACCTGGTTCAATATTTAAGAACAAAGCACATAGATGTCCGATCAATCGTTTCACTACGCGCTAACCGTTTTTTGGTGGTTAGCGTCATCATGACCGGCGCATCCGGTCAGTACGCAGAGGGCATCCCTTTGGCTCTAACGGCTCTATTGGTTTGGGGACGTCTATAAATAGTGTTTGGACGGCTCCAAGGCAAGTCTCTTGGCACTTTGACAATACTTCATCCTTGTGAGCCTAAGCAAACTCCTCCTACTCATCTTTATCATTGATTCATCATCATAGTGAGATTGGGAGTGATTCTAAGTGTATTTGCTTGAGTGATTGCATCTAGTGGCACTTGAGAATTGTTGTGGCTGCGGATTTCTTATTTCTCTAGGTGGTTGCCGCCACCTAGACGGCTTGGAGCAGCGGAGGAGCTTCGGCACGAGTTGTTCATTGTTCGTGGCCGGCTCCGGTGGTTGTGAGGGGTCTTGTACCTTTTCCGACGGAGAGCCAAAATGTTACTCTAGTGGATTGCTCGTATCATTGAGTTACCTCACTTGTGGGTAGGTTCTTGCGGTGTCAAATTGTGTGGACGAGGTTTGTGCAACATCTCTTAGCCGCCGAACCACCAAGTGTTGGTCCACACAACGGGGACTAGCGTGCCGGCAAGCACGTGAACATCGGGAGAAAAATTGGTTGTCTCTTGCCCTTTGGTATTCTCCCGGTGATTGAATAGGTATTCATCTTGTGATTGGTTCACTCCTTTACGCGGTGGTATAATCACCATACTCACTCATTTATATTTTTGTATATACTAGTTGTAGCAAGCTATTTGGTGTAGCTAGAATTGAGAGCTTGCTTTGTAGTTTAAGTTTATCTAGTGGAGCTTTTTAGTGTAGCAAGTGTGAGAGCTCTTAGCGAGTAGTGACTTTGCAAATTGTGTGTCTAGTGATCATAGTAACTAGAATTGTTGGATAAGTGGCTTGCAACCCTTGTAGAGCTAGAGCAAGTTTGCATTTCGCTATTTGTCATACTAATCAAATTGCTCTAGTTGGTTTGTAGATTTTTAAATAGGCTATTCACCCCCTCTAGCCATATCAGGACCTTTCACCGGGGCTCATCCGATCTGGGCCATCCACGCGCCAGATCCGATGGCTGGGAAGGGCTCGCGACGTGGCCACGCTCTCTGGCCTCGGTTTGGTGCGAGAATCGTGTTAAGAGATTGGTAGTTCAGGAAATAAATTGAGCATCCAATGATAGTTGAGTGAACGATATGGTTATTTCATTGAAGTATTTTATGGAATTAAGATAAACTACCTCAACCCATCTTGTGATCCAAATAAGGTTGTTACAGATGATGTCATGTTCTGTAGCACTACTTCAGCAGTATTTTTCAGCGAACGAACAGTGTTTTCCTCTCACAATAAATCAGCATAAGCAAAATTTCAGCGAAACAAACAGGTGCCTAAGAGAGTTTCCAATTATTGAATTTAAGAGCTTAGAGTCAGAGGACACTAGTCAATCTAGCCCTGAGTCACTCATCTCTTATATCGACATTAAGGTCCCTTTTGGAACAAAAGAATTTTTTCTGTTTCCTGTGTTTTTCATGTGAAAATGAACTGATTCATGTGGAAATCATGTACAAATCCTGTGAAATTCCTGTGTTCCAAAGGTGCCCTAAGTTAGGAAAATGGTTGTAAGATACTCTCTTTTGGAAACCCTAGAGGAAAGGCCGGGAGTTTTCTTTCATCTAGTTAGAAGGGATGTTGGCAGACACCAGCCAGTCACAAATTCCATAGATTGATACTCCAATCTATAAAAAAAATCATTCAAGATAAGACTTAGCCAAACCTTAATTAAAAATTATACAACATCAATAACTATTGCATCGTTTATTTTGGAGATACATGTTCCCTCCGTTTCAAATTATAGATTATTTTGACTTTTCTAGATACATAGGTTATTGTATGCACCTACATATGTTATGTTTAGATACATAGTAAAAACTATGTAGCTAGAAAAAACAAAACGATTTATAATTTGGAACATGATGGAGTGTAGATTTGTATTCAGAATACTTGCATAATATCTTATATTTGAAAAATGTTAATGTTGTATTCTAGAAGAAACTAATGGTCAGAAAGTATTATGTAAGGAGTGACATTCAGCATCTGTGCATCAACGTCAAAGAGGGAATATAACTCAGAGCCTGAAGGCCTGCCGTTGAATTTCTTTGAGATTCGCGCAACATCACTAGGGGGGTCGTGAGAGAGGGAAGAAAAGCAAAGAAGAGGGCATTCTCCGGCCGCCGTTAAACCCGCGCCGCCAGCAAAGGTGAGCTCCGACCGACCGACCAACCCGAACCGACCGAGAGCCCCAGTCGCCGCAGCCGGCGAGAGAGCGAGACACACACGAAACCCTAGCGAGGATTCCTTCCACGCCACAGGCAAGAAGGGAGGGGGGAGGCGATGGAGTACCCGGCGGCGGCCGCCGGATCGGGGGGCCACAAGTACTACTACCCGCCGCAGCACTCGCAGCCGCAGGCGCTTCGCCGCCCGCCGCGCCCCGCCGCTCGATGGGTCAAGCAATGGTGCGTTCTTGGCTCCTCTCCCTCTCCCTCTCTCTCTTACAGAGAAGGAGAGAATTTCCGCTTCTTCTGACTGGAATTCACCCGAGCTAATAAATTGCGCGCGCTGCATTGTTCTTGGTTGCGCTTGGTTTCCCAGGATCCCGCAGGATCTCGCGTCCTCTGGCGGCAAGTGCTCGCTCTTCAAGTGGGTCAGAGGTACTAACTGTTTGTTCCTACTAAATCTCCCCCCTTTTCTTCATTCCCTTGGTTTCCTCCCCCTTCACTGAGGTTGTATTGTAAGATACTAAGATATACATGGGTTCTTGAATCTGTGACAAGTCTAGGTCTAGATGTCCATTGATGACGCTGATTGTTCATTTGTCTAGAGCAGTAGCTAAGTGCAGATTTGTGGTACTCCACAGCTAGCTAGCCGGTGATTACAGTTACAACCTCTTTCCTTACCTGTGTGCAGAGGATGGGTACCAAAACTCCAAGGAGAACCCCAGAGTGCTAGATGTGGAAGCCCCCAAGCCTGAACCTACCACAGAGATCCTCTTCCTCTGCAGCTACGACAACTGCGGGAAGACCTTTGTTGATGTCAGCGCGCTCCGCAAGCATGCTCATGTGCACAACGAGAAGCAGTATATCTGCACCGAGCCCAACTGTGGGAAGGTATCTCCGCCTGGATCTCAGTTGGAACGAGCATTAGTACCACGTACTTATTGTTTGTTATTGTGATATGCACTTGAGCCTTGCTGTACTTATCTGCTCTCAAACACAAAACATCACAAGACGTTCTTGTTTAACTGAATATGTCTACCACTCCCTATTCCTTATACTGAATATTTCTATCACTCAGGATGTACCTGTCCAGTCTTTATCCTGAGTTCCTGAGCAGTCCTGTTATTTATAATTGTATTGTTTTTTCTAAGATTTACTTCTTAATTGCATTACAACTAATGGCAAAGTAAATCATAACTGAATTTGATGGTACCTATCATACTACGAAGCCTTAAACAAAAATTATACATTCAACTTTTCAGCCCTTTTGCTCTGTCTTGTCTTAATTACTTATAAACCACACGTCAGATATTATGTATGCTGAGAACTTTCAAATTGTCATTGTAGACCCTAACTACTTTGTTGTTCTATCTGGCAGAAATTTGTTGATAGCTCCAAGTTGAAGAGACATTATCTTACCCATACAGGACAAAAGGATTTTGTCTGTCCACATCCAGGCTGTGGTAAGGTAATCACCTCATCCCTCTCTAGCAATGCACTTATAAGGCATCATGGATTTCTAGTGCACTGTGGCTCTTTTGCTTTCAACCATCACCACACCCCTTATCTTTTCGGAGTTGTAGATATTCATGCATAGCAAATGTTGTATCGAATGGTGAACTGTCATATGGTATTTTAATTCTCCATAATTCAAGATGTTCCTTTGATGTTTTTAGTTCAACCTAATCTCTAATCTGATTTCAGCAGATGCATCCAGCCCCATTGTATGTTTGTATACTCAAGTACTCAGTTGCTGTGTTCCCAAACTTGTGGCTAAATTTGGGCTTTATACAATGAAAAACTTCCAACGTGCACATCCATGACTCCATGAATGACTTGTTTGAAGTATTTTTTTCCTTCAAAAAATAGGGCCTTTAGCCCAGCCTTTTTCTTTTCTGGGTGTTGGTAGCAGGCCTAGCCCAGCCTTGTTCAAAGGCCATTTGGGGGACAATAGGATGGTGGCCTGACCCCAAACATTCTAGCCAACTGGTCCTTGGCAGTTCCTTTCTTTTAATGTGAATGGGTATCTTTTCTTAGAGTCGTGTGTCTTTGGCTATAGTGCATTTACATTTTCAAACAAACAAATGTTTTGAATTTCAGGCCTTCTCATTGGATTTTAACTTACGGTCACACCTGAAAACACATGCATTGGAGAATTATCACATATGCCCTTTCCCTGCATGTGGCAAAAGATTTACAAGTGACTTCAAACTAGCAGCACATGTCAAGTCACATGAAAAGGTATGCTGCTATTGTGCTTAAACTTCTGTAATCATCATTCAAGATGCATTTACCCTTGTGGTTGATTGTTCGCTTCAATATTACTGTTCTTTTATACGATAACTAAATTACATACTGAGTCCTAGATCCGCATGTGAAATATGTAAAAAAATGATAAAAGATTCTCTTAACTAAATATTTTGTAGACCGTAGTGCTGGCATGCCAGATTGCAGTATGGCTCTGTGCAGCTGTTCAGTTTGCCCTTGTATATCATATAGTTCTTTGCTGTCAGCCTATTGAGCCTCCTTGTTGATACACAATTCGTTCATATACATCTGTTTTTTATATCAGGTGAAGGATATATCATTGCATTGGAAAGTTCCATAATGTTACATTATAAATATATCACACTTGTCAATACAAACTCTGTATACTTTTCCCTTGTGTAATTTATTCTGTCTATTGAGCCATGGTGCAGATTGGAACTCCTATTGCAGTGCAACATGCGCCAGCGCCAGCAGCAGAAAAACCGCGTGTCGCCCAGAAGCCTTCGACTCCAGCAACCACAAGCTATGCTGATCGCCCATATGTCTGCCCCTATGAAGGTTGTGACAAAGCATACATTCACAGTTACAAATTGAACCTTCATCTAAAAACTCAGCACCCTGAACATGGTCAAGAGGAAAATGGTAAGGTCGGTGCTTCTGCTGGTCAGCATGCTGCGAATGAACAGACGTACCAATATAACTATGCTGAGGTTGGTGAGATTGCACCAAACCCCAAAAGGAGCAAGCATAAGGTCCACTCATCCAAAGCCTACAATGCCAAGATCTCGAGAGCGATGCGTCCTGACATCGGTGGTGTCAGGAACCAGTGGCCAGGTAAAGCTACGTACCCAGATGATAGTGAAGAGACCGAAGAAGACGGAGGCAACAACATTGAAGATGGCTGGAGATATGGCAACAATGATGATGACGAGGAAACACCAGATGAAGATTGACCTTTATATAGGTTTGGACATGTAGATATATGAGGTGGTCTGTTACCCTTTAGTTTCTGCAAACTCTAAACCAATGCAGTCACGGGGGAATTTCAAGCTTTAACCTTAGGTAGTAGTTTGTTGAGATGGTGCATCGGTATATTGTACTCAGTTATCTGCTCCTAAAGGTTCACTCCCCTATGTTCCAGAGTGGCTAATTGTCACATTTATGTGAGATAGTTTGAATATGTTTTCCTTGGAATAAATTTTCATTTGAAATGTTACTCACTTCACTATTTTATTAGATGAACTAGGTATCTGCAACACCCATCCATGCAGACATGCAGTTTAGCCACAAACATGTTTTATTTACTACAATCTACTTATTTTTCTGGCAAATCACTCAAGAGTGTCAGAACAGTTTAGCCTTAAACATGCATCGATATATTGTACTCTGTTTTCTGCTGCTGAATATTCGGTTCCCCATGCGACAGAGTGACCAATTGCCACATCTGTGTGATGAGATAAGTTGGAATCTGTCTCCTTGACACAAGTTGTAATTTGAAACGTTGCTCACTTCAGTTCAATTGTTTTATTTGACGAGCAATGTAGTTATGAAAGACTCATCCATGCAGTTTAACCATGAACAGGCTTTGTTTTATTACAGTCTGCGAGTACGTACTTAGGCAGATAACTCTCAGGTGGCCTGCCTACTCTTGGTCCCTGCCAACATGACCTTGAGAATAGGTGTCAGTGTCACCAGGAGTAAAGACAGCGAGCTCATGCTTTCTATATTGTTCTTCAGCTCTGCAGCTTCCTCCATGGAGAATTGGAGGTGCCACACGCGCTGGCGATGACGCCGAGTGGCAAATCGCTCAAGACAAGAGTTCTTCCCAGCAATGTGGCTGACCAGCAAGTCGATCTACATTCCCACATCAGGTTCAACTCCCTGAGATGAGATGTACATAACCACACCAACTTCGTAAAACAGGCTGGTGTGAGCTGATGATTTCTGTAAAATAAAATTTGGCATAGTAGTATCGAATGGAAAACTAAGCCCAGCAAGAAAATGGTCATGAAACACAATCAACTCATCATCACGAGGCTACTTGGAACAATTAATGCAAACAAATTAGCCGAGAAGCCAACAATTCAGATACAAGCCAACAACAGAGGTACGACAAATCAAAAAGTTATTACGCAAACCACCTCAAAAGGAAACGAGAACTCGACACTACGGGGATAATAAGAGCGTCTCCAGCAGAGCAGTCCCCAGCAGCCTGAATGTATATCAGCTGAGAATTATTAAGAGAAACTACTACAGTAGTATTAATTCGAGGGATTTAATTTAATTATTAGGTGCAGCAGCTGGGTTGAGCCAGCTTGTGATGGCGAGGTTGGCGCCCTGGTGGATGAGCAATGAAAGAAGCCGCACCTTGTTGCGCGCGTGGCTACTCCCGCCTTTGATGGCGCCCTCCCATTCCAGCACCTCCGTAGCCTCCAACGCCGCCTTCACAGGTTTCCTCCAGTAGCCGTTGCCGTACTTGTCCGCGAAGGGTGTCTTGAGGTTGATCCACTGGGCGAAGTAGTCAGGGATGGGCAAGTTCTTGTGGAAGCACTCCTGCTTCAGCATCGTGCGGCAGTCCCAGTTGCCCCACGTCACCACGACGCTCACGTTCAGGCCACCGCCACAACCTCGATATATCCAGGCTTGGTGCATCTTCAGCGCCTCGGACAGCGTCACGGCGCCCTTACTTCGTGTCACATGTTTCTGCTTGATGCCGTTGTAACTCTTGCAGTACTCGCTCAGCACATGATTTTCTGTCGGGATGACATACTTGTGGAAGGTGGACTTGGGGTGGCCGGTAGCAGCGTCGACGAGGACGGACGAGAACTCGACAATCTCTTGCCTGAGTAGTCTTGTCATCGCCAAGCGAAGCAGCTTGGCTTTTTACTTCCTGCAGCTTAGTGTTAATTAGTACTGATGATGATGGCATGAAAATAAAAAAGACACATAAGAAGCATCGTCTATCAGTGTGTGTGTTGCGTGTGGGAATGAAGAAGGGTGCAAGCAAGGATCGAAGACGTACTCCGGCTTATTGACGACCTAAGATCCCGTCTTCCTCCTCGTCCCAGTAGTTAAACGACTTTTACTGATCATATCAAGAAGATCATTGCTTGCTGCTGCCTGCTGGCTTATCCTCTTCACCGAAGCATGACTGTTGATAAGGATTATCCGCCAATTTGGACTGTTGCTGTGTAGTCTCCTCCCAACCCGTCTGCAATACTTCATTATTGGACTGTCATTATTCATGGCTTGCTGATGACTCAACCCCACCATCGCACCGTAACAATGATCATTGATGAGATAATCGCACCACCCAAACAGAATACTACTATTTATTGGTGTGTACAAGGGACTGTCAGCAAGTTTTTGCTGAGGTGGCCTGCGCATAAGAGCAGGTCTACTGCTCCTTACTAGCACTCCTCCTTCGGTACCATATCCATATGGGCCATCTGCAAAACAAACTGCTTGTTAGACAGTGTAGGTCTTTCTTCCAAAACTGCTGTAATACCCCGTAGTCCTCCCCTCTGATCCTCTACTTAGCCTCTGGGATCCCTCCACCCTCGAATTGATAAAAAAAAAGAACTTACATGTATTTTCAATTTGTTCGGCGCCGGCAGCATATGCATATGCGTTGTTGTATTCACTGGGGACAGAGTAACCTTCCTGGATATGACATGAAAAGATATTACGTGCCTCGGCCACAAAAAAACATAGTATTGTTTACAACAAGATTCAGTCAAACCTTATACTACAAGCATCATAACTATTAAATTAATTATTTAGTTTCGATATGTGTTGATTTGTGCTAAAAATACATCAAAATTTCTTCAGAATATATTCTATAAGAACTTACTAGTCAAAGATACATGCCAAATTAAAGACCATGCAATGCAAAGTCAAATACGTAACAGATCATTTGTGGTCACCTAATGCAAAATTAATAAACCAACGTGTTCTCTTATTTTACGTCATGAGATTGGCAAGACAACATGCATGATTAGCTGCTGAATTTGATTTCTACTTACACTATATTGTTGTTGGTCCAGAAAGTTTCGATTACTGCCATTTCTTTGTCCCAGATAGGTTGGAGACAAACCAGATGTCCAACGTTCTGCAATGCAAGTGAACAACAAATCTTATGATCTGCTGCATCAATTAATTTGCTGGGGGTGGTGAGATTCAGAAACTAACAGTTTGGTGTCCAAGCGTACGATGGCCTCCACAACATAGTGCCATATTGCTGCCCACCGAAACCACCTGCATGAGCGAAAAAACAATTAGGAGTATCATTTATATACACTTGTGGGTTAAGAAATAGAAAGAGTATAGTTTCTAGCGTTTACCATGTCCACCCATTCCGGGTGTGGAAGAAGGATGACCTGCACCATATCCACCCATTCTGGGTGCGGAAGAAGGATCACCTGCACCATGTCCACTCGTTCCAGGTGCGGGATAAGTAAGACCTGCACCAGAATGTAATTTTTTCTTTTACCAATTGGACGTAAACTTGTGTAGCATGATAAACGATGTGACAAGCCTTGATCATCTCCCAGAACCGGAGGGCGGGAGGAGTGATCAGCGGCCCTGAGCTTTGCATAGTAACTTCCCTTCGCTCTTGATGTTGCAACAGAGTTGGACAAGATGAAAATGAGCATTGAAATGTGCACCAAACTCTCCCGCCTCCACGACCAGCTCTCCCGCCTCTCCGGCCTTCCTCCGGTGAACGGCGGGAACGGCACCTCCGCTGGGTTCCTGATGTAGAACCACTCCCCATGCCACCCCCGATTAGAGTCGCAGGGGGAGTACGCGGGGTAGGAGCCCAACGGCCTCAACTTCTTCTGTAGGGCGAAGCCCCCAACCAGCGCGGTCCTGGGTGGCTTCCCCTCCGACAGGGCTTGCCCGGTGAAGATTCGCCGGAATAGGTCCACGTGCGGCTCCATCCCGAGGAAGGCCTCACAGACAGTGACGAAGCCTGCAACGTGCAACACCCCAGTCGGATTGAGGTGCTGTAGCTTCAGGCCCCACTCGTTGCCCGCGCTCGTGGAAGGCAAGGAAGGAGACAACCTCATCGGCCCGAGGTCGCGGAACAGCTTCCCTCGGCGCAGGAGCCCTCCAGTGCGCCACCTCCTTCGGCGGGAGCAGCCCCTTCTCAACGAAGGCGGCCAGCACTGTCTCATCTACGTTGGATGGCCTCAAGTTCGACATCGCGCTCCGGATTCACGAATGGATCTATGAGTTCTCTCCCTCGCTTTACCCCCACTCTCTCTCAGAAACCGCCGAGGCGCACGAACGCGCTTGGCAAGAAGGAAGGAGGAGGGGCCGCAGATGGAGAAAGGTGAAGGAATGGAACTAAAACCCTCTCCCTTGCCCTATTTAAATGCGAATAGGCATACGATGGGACGTGCCCTGACTGATGGGATGCACCCTGCCCAACGAAACGTCACCCGGTTAAAGCGGGACGTGGCCTGGGTTGGGCCCACCACTTCCACAACCCAGGCGCAGGAAACAAGGCGCAATTGCATTCAAACGACCCTCCACCTTCCTAGGCAGGGTTTGGGAGGGCCCACCGATAGGATCTCCGTCGAGGAGAGACCAACGGGATACCTAAGTCGATCGGACGGCTCAGGCGACTGCCGAGAGACAGGTAAGGGGCAGTGGGATGCCCCATGTGGGCTACACCGACTCCGTCACAAACGACGGACACAGGTCCCATTCAGACATATCCGATAAGAGCTCCTCAAACCCGTCACTCGAGTCATCAAGGTAACTTTACCAAATCCTCATACTTTATTTTATTTTCTAAATACATAATCATTCATCATACACGCATTCACACATTCATTCATACAATCATTCATTCATCCCATACATCCAAAGCATTGCATAATGCAATTAATGCATCACAACGCTTAGTGCTACGTCATGAAGCGGAAGTCGCCTCATTCAACATGAGCGACGACCGACCGGGATTCGAAGGCCGGCCCACGAAGGGCTCGAGGCCGCCTTGCGTCAAACAGAGCCAGGGGAGAAAACGCAGATGAGCCCCAGTGGCCCTCGCCTGATATGCTCAGAAGCAGACAGGGTCATCTCGACCTTCTAGTTCGATCCTAACCTCGAGCCATGCCCACAGAATCCCCATCGAGGAGAGGCCAGCGGGGCATCTGAGTTGGTCTCTGGAATGACCCGGGCATCTGTTGGGAGGCGGGTTAAGGAGCAGTGGAATGCCACATGAGGGCTATGCTTACAACATTACGAACGACGTACCCGGATTCCGCTCGAACGCGCTCGTTAGTGAGGTCACCGAGCGAGTCACTCGAGCCATCGAGGCAAGCGACGTTAGTTCAGCCCCTCCGATTGTGGAAACAGTGGACGGGGTAACGCACGGAACTAGACCAACCCCTACCGAACCAAACGGGACTCAGGGGCTCAGGTCGCCCGACGCCGACTCGGGAAAACAACCGACCACGCAGGTCACGGGCGGGACAAACATGGGCGAGCACCCCGCACGACAGAAACATAGGAGTCTATGGCCCTAGGAAAGAGTACCAAGATACTCAGCGTCCAACCGACTCACCAGTCGAACGTAGGCTCGGGGGCTACACCCACTGGGTGCGCTCGCGCGCACCCGCTGCCAAGTCGAAAAAACCCCTAGACAATTTCACCCTAATCGCCCGGGGGCTCGAGGGCTACACCCACCGGGTGCGCTCGCACGCACCTGCTGATAAAACGAAAAATCCCCCAGACGATTCTACCCGAATCACCCGGTGGCTCGGGGGCTACACCCACCGGGTGCGCTCGCGTGCACCCGCTGGCAAAACGAAAAATCCCCCAGACGATTCTACCCGAATCGCCCGAGGGCTCTGGGGCTCCTATCGGGTTTGTAAACCTGGGGTCCCAAATGGGCCTGCTTCCTAGCAAAAGCTCGCCCCAGCAGACGACATTACAAAAGATACGCAACTCCTAGGCCAGCCCAGATACCTAACGACAGGCCAGAAGAGCGGTCCAGTCTCCGACCGGAAGGCCTGGCCAAGGAGGGGACGACGCTCGCTTCCGACTCCGACCCGCTTCTCCGACCAGAAGGCCTAGCCAAGGAGGGGACGACGCTCGCTTCCGACTCCGACTGGCTTCTCCGACAGGAAGGCCTGGCCAAGGAGGGGACGACGCTCGCTTCCGACTCCGACCCGCCTCTCCGACCGGGAATACACCAAACCTCTACTTACGGCTCTTCTCCGACCGACGCGGTCGGAGCCAACTGGGAACGACCGGCCGGGGACGCCCGCTCGGTGAGGACCCAAGAAATCAGGCGGAGCAGATAAGGTAAGGCACTCAAGTCAAACCGCAATACCGAGGACCATACCCTGCACACCTGTAGGATAGTACTGTCAGGCCATACCAGAAGGGTACTTTGCAACCTTCTAGACATGTCAGAACACGAACAGTGTTGTGGGCGCTGATATTTGCCCTACAGTATGGTAGGCCCCGACATTTGCCATACCAGAAGAACACGATGGAGCCTGCCACATGCATCTGGGCATCAATAGTATTGTGGGTGTCGCCAAACTGTCTTGTACCCGACGGCGTGGGCAACAAGACTAGGGCACACATACTCTCTCTCTCTCCCAAACTTGTAAGGCCATCCCCTTCGTCTATAAAAGGGGATGCGCTCTCTCCTAAAAGGACGACGAATGATTCATTCCGACTCGCTCTCTGCTAGCTTTAGACACGCTGAGCACTCGAACAGCTCCACGGCTCTAGAACTCTAAAGCTACACAGAGCATACGTTCCAATACTCAGCGCACGTAGGAGCTCTCGTCACTCTTGGCCCTTCGGTCTAGAGTCCGACCGGACCTCTAACACCT